CCTCTGCTTGCTGGCCTTCTGGGTGCTGGTCTACTTCTGTGTGTGGAAGCAGGTCATGGATATGGGAAAGGTCAGGGTGCCAGGTAATGACTTTATCCCCACACTCTACCTTGTTCTCCAAGCCTGGGATCAGTCCCAGGAGATGGGCTGCCCACTGGGCACACTCAGACCTCCCCTTCCCTTTGGGGTGGGACACGGGCACCCTGCAGGGAAGGGTTCCTGCAGGTTTCTACCTGCTAGCTTTAGGCTGATGCACTTGGCATGTCCCAACTCTCTCAGGTAGCAGCTATAACTAACACACACCATGTCATCTCCAATCCCAAATGCGGAGTAGATGCGAGAGAGGCCACCCAACCCCAGTGCCTGGACCTGGGCTGGGGGTGGGATGGGGGAGAGCGGGTCAGGACGGGGTGGGAGGGTGCATTCTTACTGTGCTGCAAACATAGCAATAAAATCATGTCATTTCCCAAAACTGTCTCCTGGCCTCTGGGTGCCGGGACATGGCTTCAGAGGGGCACCGGGCAGTAAGGAAGGCCTTCTGTCAGGAACTGCTCACCTGCGGAGAAAGAAGAGGCACCGGCCAGGGGATGAGGTTGTGGAAGCTGGGAAATCCGGGGAACATACCCTCACATCTTTGTATTCCCGTTGACACTTTTTGATGTCAGATCATGCTGGGACTCCTGAACTCTGCACCCACATGTACTCTGAGCTCACCCTGCTGGGGAGCTGCTTGCAGTACTTCCTCCTTTTTCTGCCTCCACTGTATTGTAGTGGGCAGCCCTCACGTCCAGGGCAGTTCTACGCCTTGGATTTTCTAGTCAGTGGGACAGCCAGTCATCACTGGAGGAGCAGCCTGGCCTTGGGGCATTGGGAAGATGGTATGGACGCACTGCTCATTGCGGTGGGACAGGAGAGCAGGCAGCTGAAGCTGCAGGCCATTTATGCCACTATTTGTGACCTACATGGATTGTCGCGACAAGGCACACAAGCACCACAACCATGTTCCATTTAAGGTTCTAGGAGAAAATGTAGAGGAAATTTATTAATTTTGGATGGAGGAAGACTTCTGAGTTTAACAATGGGATCTTGAGAAGCAATTCCTTGTATTGGGTAATGACCACTGCTGTCAGTTCTAAGTGCAGAACACAGATGATTCTTTTTTTTTTCTGAAACACATCCACATTTTCACTGTGCTTATCCATAACGATGGGGAAAAGGATTTTTCTTTTCCAACATGGTTTACATTTCCTGTTATCAACAGGGAACACAGATTACATTGTATGCAGAGGGGAAATTAGAAAACTTTTCACCAATTGCTGAGAAAACTTTTAATTAGTTCCCAAGCGAACCATCTTGCTAAACTTTTTAATTAGCCTGTGCAGTTCCCTGGAGACCCATGTTTGCTGGGAGAGCACGGTAATTGGTGCTTCTATCCGTGTAGCTAGGTCGTCTTGATGAAGCCTCGGGGGTGGGGGTGAGGAGGCACTAAGCCAGGCCAACTGCAGAAGCTGGTATTGTCCTACTGGTATCTGGAACTTGGGGCCCCTTCCCCAAAGGAAACCTCTGTAAATTCCTCCCGAGGACAACGGAGAGCTCATCTCAACATCTCCTTAAGTTCCAAAGAACTATGCTGCTCTTCCCCTTCCAGGCCCTTGCATACATGCAGACAGGACTGTGTGGCCCTCTCCAGGCGGTCTGTGCTGCTGCAGAGGCCCCGAGGGCATCATGGTAGATCCGCAGAAGCTGATTAGGCTACCAGGTGCTGACTGAGGCAGAATCACAGAGGTGCCTGCCACAAAAGAGCAACAATGGTGGCGTCAGCATAGCTCTGTCCTTTACCGACACCTCTTCTGAGCTCTACAGCGGAAATTAGTGCAGCCACCTGCCTCGGTCGTCCTCTTTGCTTCTCCCACTCCTCAAATGCCACCCCTCGGCCATGCACCTCTTAAAGGCATATGGGTCAGGGACAGATCTCACAGGCACTAGGGGTCCCAAACATGTTCCCATCATGAAGTGACCTGAAGTGTGTCTCCACAGCCTGACTCTCCTCTCACCTCTATGCTTTCCTAGACCGTCTCCCTACACCACCTGAGGCTAACTTAGCACCCCACAAATTCCGGGGCTTCCTTCCCTTGGTATTGGCTGGAGTGGGAGCATCCCCTGTGCCTGTGAGGGGGGTGGGGCCAAGCTGGCCTCTCTGCGCTGCTCCTCTTGATCTTGTGTGGCCTCTTGTGGGTCACCACATGGCTCCTGAAGGGTTCTGTAAGGGATTCAGGACTCTGGGATCGGGAATCTGGCAGGACAACCTGGCTGGTCCCCTGCTCTGGGTCTTTTGGAATCTTCTGTTTGTCCCGCCTAAGGCGGTAACCACTGTGGAAATGGGATGGGTGAGGCCCACAGTCTCCACCCAAAGGCACCTTGCCCAGTGCCTCCATTTCCCTTGCCTCATGGCCCTGATTCAAATATCTGGGGCGGGGGGTCTTGCTAAAGAGCCATGCTGTGGGATTTCCTTTTCCACACCCTGTCCCCTCCCAGCCAGCTCTAGGGCAACTCCTGACCCTTCTGGCTGCCCTGAGACCCTGCTGAGAGGCTCTGGCCCTGCAGGGACACTGCTAGGCCTCAATTGCACCCACTGGGCCGAGTCACCCCACCTCCAACTGCACAGATCAAGGCTTTCCGACACATCACTCAGCAGCATTCACACCCAATAGGCATGGGTCGGTGGAGACTAAGCAGGGAGAGGATATGGGGATATCGCATCTGCCTTTGAAGAAGCTCGAAAAGTGGCCAACGGGGAAGCACGCATTAACCAAGGGGAGCGCGAGTGCTAAGCAGAGCCATCACAGAAGTGCTCACATGTTTGAAAGATTTTATTAAGAAAAATCCCATTCCTCCACAGGAGCAGGGTTGGCTCTAGGCTAAACCACTTTGCCTCACCCACCCAGGCTTGCAGGGGAACGTATTTGTCTGTGGAGTTTGGAACATAGTGGGGGATTTAGGAGTGAGTGTGGTGTCAGGTCATGAGTAGCAGGTCGGAATAGCTGCTGCGTGTGATAATTTGGGGGCTCAGTTCAGGACTTTGGAACTTGCATTCTAGAAGCGAGGAAGGGTTGACAGAATTGACATCTATAAGGAAGTGATTGTGATGGGCTCACTTGTCCAGTAATGCATCCATCAGAAACTCAGTGTCCTTTTTAATCACCTTTTTAACAGCATAGGGGTGTCTCAGGTTTGGTGGAGAGAGGACATCACTCATTCAGAATGAATATGTTACAATGAGGCTCTTTGGGTAAATATACATTACAGTAAAGACATGAAAACTCATTTTGTGAGTTTTGGGTTTTGGAACGCACCTGTCAGTGCTCAGGGATTATTCCTGGCTCTGGTTTCAGGGATCACTCCTGATGGGGCTTCAGGGAACCCTATGTGGTGCCTGAAACAGAACCCAGTTTGGCGGCATGCAAGACAAGTGTCCTGCCCTGCGTATTCTTGTTCTGGCCCCTGCATGGATTGTTTGGGCACATATCTGTCCCATTATCCCTCAAGGACAGGGCTTGCTCCAGGTTTCTTTCCCTGCCCAATGGCACCCCACACCCCATCAGGCTGCTTGGATACCTGCTGCGTCCTGCAAGGTATGCTGGAGGAAGGGGCTTGACTCAGTAGCCTTTCACCTAGCTTCAGCCCATTATCACACCTGACCTGTATTTCCAAATCCTGAGGCTTCTTCTCAGGAGAATTTTGGAAACTCCCATATTAAGTGGGGACTCAAAACATTGCTCTGAGAGGCTTGATGGGGTTCACAGTACACTTGTGGCTAACAGAACACTTACTGAGAACAGCTGCTGGGGTGACACACTCATCCTACATCTTGCTTTCAAGGATCCTCCCAAGAGGCAGCAGATGCTTTCAGTGCCAAGTGGGGTGTAAGCTTGAAAGGAGACTTGAAAGGGGACCATGCACCCAGGCTCCTAGGATCCAGCCATTTTTGCATCTTTTATATTTAGATTTTTATTAGTGAAACACCATGAGGTACAGTTGTAGATTTACAAATTTTTGTGCTTGGGTTTCAGTTATACAATGATCGAATACCCATCCCTCCACCAGTGCCCATTCTCCAACCCCACTGATCCCAGTATCCCTCCCATCCCCCATCCCCCCATCCCACCCTGCCTCTGTGGCAGGGCATTCCTCCTTGTTCTCTCTCTCCTTTTGGGTGCTGTGGTTTACAAAAGAGGCATTGAGTGGCAATCACGTTCAGTCTAAAGTCTACTCTCAGCAGGCATCTCCCATCCTGGGAGGATCCTCCCAACACCCTTTATTTGGTGCTCCCTTCTCTATCTGAGCTGCCTTTTTCCCCAGCGTGTGCGGCTGGCCTCTAACCCATGGAGTAAACCTCCCGACCCAGCTATTTTTTAAGCCATGAAGAGAAGGGAACGAGAAGGACTTAGCTGGCCAAAAGGTGGAAGGAGTGCTGGGGAGCTGCCTCAGGAGGATGGTAGTGGGATGAAGAGAGAGCAGCTTCCAGTGCCTGGCTCAAAGCTGGACTGGTTTTTTTTTGTCTTTTTGGTCACACCTGGCAGTGCTCAGGGGAAACTCCTGGCTCTGCACTCAGGAATTACTCCTGATGGGGAACCATATGGGATGCCGGGGATTGAACCCAGGTTGGCTGCATACAAGGCAAATGCCCTCTCCGCTGTACTATCACTCCGGCCCTGGGTTGGTTTCTGTCTCCAGTTCTTTGGGGATCAGGTGTCGCTTCCTCCTAGGCCCCACCAACCCCTTTTCACCTCACCTTATTGCTGTGGTGGATCTCCTGGTTTTCCTGTCCCTGTTTCAAACTCCATCTCTGACAGTGCGCTACAATGATGTAGAACCCAGAAAGGGCCAGCAGGCCATTCCCTGGCACTCCACAACTGCTGCACTTTTGAAAGCTTCAGGACTCAGAGGGTGATGTGGGGCCCCAGGGTTATGGTCAGGTGTAAAGTGCATGGGCCGCAACTTCACCTGGCAGCAGGCTTCTGCCACATCTGGCTGTGGCTTTCCAGTAGTCTCTTAAGGGCACCCTTGACCTCCTTGTTCCTCAGACTATAGATCATGGGATAGAGCATGGGCGTGACATTGGTGTAGATGAGGGACACAATTTTGTCCTGTTCTGGAGTGTAGCACGACTTGGGACGAATGTAGATGAAGATGGCACAGCCGTAGTGCAGGAGAGAGACAAGCAGGTGCCCGGCACAGGTGGAGAAGGCTTTGCTTCGGCCTTCTGCTGACTGGATTCGGAGGATGGCAGCGATGATGAAGGCATAGGAAAGCAGGATAAGCAAGAAGGGAATGAGCAGGATGAGCAGGCAGACAATGAAGACTGCAATCTCATTGGTCCGAGTATCAGAGCAGGCCAGGAAGAGCACTGCCGGGATGTCACAGAAGAAGTGGTTGATCTCGCGGGAGTTGCAGAAGGGCAGGAGGAAAATGAGTGTAGTCAGGGTGAGAGAGAGAGCAAAGCCACTGGTGCAAGCCAGGGCCAGCATGGCCAGGCAAAGAGGTCTGGTTATGATGAGTGTGTAGCGCAGGGGGTTGCAGATGGCCACAAAGCGGTCATAGGCCATGACAGCCAGGAGGAAGCACTCGGCACCACCCAGGGCAATGAAGAGGTGCATCTGCAGGGCACAGCCCAGGAAGGGCATCCGCTGGCTACTGGTCAGAAAGTTGGCCAGCATGTTGGGGACAATGACGAGTATATAACAAATTTCGATGGCGGACAGGTTGCGAAGGAAGAAATACATGGGGGTCTGCAGGCAGGAGTCCACCAGGGTGATGAGGACGATGGTGGTGTGGCCTGCGAGCGTGATGAGATGCATGAGGAGGAAGATCCCGAAGAAGAAGAATTTCAGATCAGCCAGCTCCCCAAAGCCCAGGATGATGAACTCAGAGCTTGTGCTATAGTTTTTGGGCCACAGGGCCATCCTGTGTAATGCCTGAATTTGGGGTGCTAGTTTTCTAGCGACTCTCCAAGGCTGGGGAGACCCAGGAGCCTCTGGCCCAGTAGGAGTCCCCACCAGCCCCTTGGCCAGGCCACTCTTCTCAGAGAATGCAGAACCAAGTGCTCACCAGTACCACCTCAGCACCTGCAGGGCTCTGACAGAAAGGGGCCTCCATGAGGGTGCTTGGCACTTGCTTTCGGCAGAACCCTTATTCCATCTGTACCAGCTGTCTGTCCCTTGGGTTGCATGCTGGGTCTGGGGTCACTGATGTTAGAGAGAGCTAGGCTGTGAGATTTGACCGTAAAGATCTTTTCACATGTCCTGGTTGTACTCCCTGCTCCACCCCAATCCCCACCCACACTTTCAGGAGAACTGCAGCGCTGCCTGGATGCTACCTCCTTGGTTGCTGAGAGACAGGAGACCCAGACATTTGTCCGGCTCCTGGACTGACTAAGTCCCCCACCCCTGAGACTTCCAAGGCCTCAAACCTCTGGGGTGGGTTTGTTACCACCCCATCCTGTGATTCATTGCCTCTTTTTTTTTCTCTGTGGGGCTGAGAGTGAGGCTGTGCAGAGCATTCCCTGTGACAGTGGCACAGACACGGTCACAGGCTGGCTTGCTTGCTCATTCTGCTTCCTCCAGGTACAGGCTGTGGTTGGGCACCAGGCAGATGCACTGTGGCATGAGCTTTTGGGTGGAAACACAAAATCTGAGACAGATTGGGGACTGCTGGGCCAGGCGTCAGGGCAGAAGTACCAGCATGGTAGAGTGGGGTGAGCACGCAGAGTCCAGACATTGTGGGTAAGGGTGCCTGGTGGCAAAGTGGCCCTGGTGGTCTGGAGTCCCTGTGTGGGAGTGAGGAAAGCAGTGTGGGCAGATAACTAGGTTACTGGGGCAGATTTTGCTCTGGCAGGACCCACCTTCCAGGAAGCCTCTGACAGCAGTGGAGAGAAGGACCCAGAGCCTGGATCCCCAGAACTCAGGAATGGGGCAGTGAAGCAACCACCTGAAGTAGGGAAGTTTGCTTCCTCAATTTATACTGGACTCCCCCCAGACTTCTGCTGGTTACATTGGTCCCTGAAAACCAGTTTTGACTGTGACCAGAGTTGAATGCCAGCTTCCCTATTGAGTGGCATCTGGGCACCTAAAGTCTTTGACCTTGACAGGAAAGATGGTGAGGACTTTCTAGGGTGACCTACTTCACTTCCCTGCCCTGGGTTCCTCCATGCCATCTACCCTTGCCAACATCACGCGAGCCCGGGTTAGATGGTCTGGTAGAAGGCAGGAAGCCCGCTGCCCTCTAGCTGGGGCTCTCTGAAGCTGGGCCTTCGTGCCTCCCCAGCTTCTGGTGCAGCCCCTGCTCTCTGGAGCCCCGCAGGAAGGAAGGTTTTTCCTTGCACTTGCCCTGGAACCCGAACTCACTTTCAGTCAGTCACTCCTGTGATAGTGCTGAATACACAGGGACTATTGCTGGGGATCTCTGGGCCCTAAATCTTGAAAACAGAGAAACACCAAAATAGAAGGAAATTCTGCAAAGATTCAAACACTTGCAAATACGCGAAGGTCATCAATCCCACTCTCAGAGTCCCTTATTAGCCATGAAGGCCAGTTCCTCTCCTGCCGGTTCTGTGCATGTACACACCCCTCACACTCAACCATAACAAGTGCAGCCACTCACATACACTTGACACACAAACACTCTCGCAGTGTACCTAGACACATATGCATCCACTATCACACACTCACAGATTCATACACCCACTCACACACATACAAACACATAGACATGCAATCATGTTCACACAACACACGTCCCTACACACATATATGAGTGCATATATGAACACACATACAGTCCCACAGATATGCACATACTTACATGTATGTGTCATAGCTGTTCATGTGCACACATTCAAAAGCCGAAGCGGGATCATGTATAGAAACCAACTCCCCTTGACTTTTCAAATCATATGCCTGGAGAAGGCTTTTGGTCAGCAAATATGGGTTTACTCTACAGCCACCAATTCCTACAAGATTGAAAGAAGCACTAGCAAGTGATTGGTAGAACCTGAAGCAAAAGCAGAGCAGCGTGGAAGCACAGGAGGCAGTGGTGGTCTCACACACTTTCTGCTTCTTGTCAGCTTCAGTGTGCAGAGGGCAGCCCCTTGCTTGGCCCTCCTTGCTCTTTTCAATCACGGTCCTTGCACAGCCTGAGACCTGGGTTACCTGGCCGGCAGCTCAGTGCACAGAGTGCTCGTTGGGAGCTGCCCCGCTGCAGAAGCTGCAGCTCTCAGAGGCCAGGAAGGAGCAGCTTCATAGGCTTAGGGCCACGGTCTTTGGGCCAAGTGGCCTGGCTTCCCGAGCCTGGAGGGCCACAGGGAGCAGCCCTCAGATGTATTGCCTGATGACTTGTTAGGAAGGGGTGTCCTTAGAGGAGCCACCACATCCCATGCCCAGCATTAAATAGCCAGGAAAGCAGGACGGGGAGGGCCCTCGAGGAGAGCAGGGAGGAAAGCCGTCCCTGTGGTCCACCCACCGAAGGGAGTGCCTTCCCTGGGTCACACAGTTGGCTACTAACTGATCCCGAACCAAGCGCAATTATGAGTGCTTTCTTTGCCAAACATGTAGGCTTGGTTTTGAGAAGTTGAGTTAGCTCTGATCTGCTGGAAGCCCAGTCCCTACCTAGTAGCCTCTTTGTGTGAGCGGCCCAGGCTGACCTCACAGGCAGGCAGCCATCCAGCTTGGACAAGGAGGAGGCTCAAGTGGGCAATGGAGCCCTGGAGTGCTGTTCTCATAAGCCCCGTTAAGCACCAACACTGAGATTCTGTCACTTTTTGTCACATCGAGGGGTGTGACCTTGTTCTGGGGGTCTCCGTTTCCAGAGTCAAATTCTGAGTGCTCAAAGCTGCCCACTCTGGACCTGCCCTTCTGTGGAGATTGTTTCCCCCCAACCATCAGCATTTTCACTGCTGAATCTCCGGCCTGGAGACTCCTGGAATCGTAGTTCCTCGCTCTTCACCACCTCCCATTTCCCTCGTAGCACTAGACTTCTCTCCAGGAGGATGGCCACTTGATGTACCCCAGAACTTGCTCTATCCAGTCCCTTCCCTGTGGCAAGACTTTCTGCTTCCCTTCTGATGCTAAGATTCTATAGATCTTGGGGTCAGGGCTGATGTAATCTCAGCCAGCCCAGGTTTGGGGACTTTATGTCATCTGGTTTGTGGTGGGGTTTCCTTGGGATTTGGCCTGTCTCCAGGCCTCTTGTTCTTGGAGGAGATGGTGAAGATACAGAGACCACCTTTCTCCCCTTCTGCTTCTTTCTTAGAGCTGAATTGTGTGTATATAACACAACTTCTTCATCCCACATGCCCAAACACCCAACACACATCTGTGTTTGGGCATGTGGGTTGTTTCCATAGCTTGACCACTATACCAAGTAGGGCAATGAACACAGGTGCACATCTATCCTTTTGAAGTAATGTTCTTGTGTTTTGTGCATAGATGGCAAAAGTGGTATTTATGGGCGTTCTTTCAGGAACCTCATTTCAATAGCCCTTGGTTTGGAAGGCAAAGTTAGCCCCCAGTCCCCATTAGCATGGCCCACCAGCCTTGCTTCCCTCACTGTTACCATTGTAGCAGCTGTCTTAGCTGGGAGAACACAACCACACCGAATCAGATTGTTTGCAGTCACTTTTCACACCACCCCTCAGAAAGAATAGGACTTTAACACCAACCTTGGGAGACACAGCTTTCCTGTATATGTGTGTGGGTGTGATGAGTGCAATCTTTCTATGTCTGTCCCTCTCTTTTTGACTCATTTCACTTAGCATGATACTTTCCATGTTGATCCACTTATATGCAAAGGTCATGACTTCATCTTTTCTAAGTGCTGCATAGTATTGCATTGTGTAGATGTACCAAAGTTTCTTTAACTAGTCATCTGTTCTTGGGCACTCGTGTTCTTTCTGTGAAAATGGCTGGTAAGGTTCCCTGGGTTCAAAGGACAGAAACCAAGTACCAGTGGCCCAAAAGACAGTGGGGATTTATTAGGAGAATAATGGGCTGTGGGAAGCGTGTTCGGCTCCCCACCTGAAAATGTAGGACAGGATGGCATCACTCCCCTGCACTCCACTTTGCTCCTTCTTTTGTCTGAGGACCAGTTGCCACTTCACTGACTCTCTAAATGGCACTGGCTGTGGTGCTGGGAAGGACTGAGTCCATATTAGTGCCTGCCCTCATAGCCACGAAGTGCAGAAGGAGAAGGGTAGGAGGACCCAGTGGGAATCCGAACCCAGCCTGCATAGAGCACAAGCACGTGACGATGTTGGGTTCAAAACAGTAGTTAATGGAGCCCTGTTCTTTCCCCCTTTCCACAGTGGTGTCACTAATTGTGGAAGCCACTTCCTTGCTGTCATGCTCTTATGCCAGGTTGCACATCTGATGCACATGGATGCAAACAAACAAGAAGGATTGTTTCAATGCAGGAAAGAACTGAAGAGAAAGGAAAGGGTCTTTGCTTCCCTCGTTTCCTCTCTACACTATGAGTTACCAGTTTGGGAGCACTCTCTGACTGCTCATCTCTTGCCGCATTGTAGCAACTGGTCCCCTAATACTGCTACAAGTTTCTGCAATTGGACACAACTCCAGCATCTAGTACTGTAGTACTTGACACTTCACAGGTGGTAAGTAAATTGTTGTAGAACAAATGGGCAAAGGCAGCAGAGGGTTCAAATGTATCCTTGAAATTGAAGGACAGAGTCTTAATGACTTAAACATCCAGTTCAGGAAACTGCAAAGAGGACAGATCCTGGGCAAGGAAGAGAAGAGACATTGCTTGTTTTTCCTCTCCTTTCTCATACACACCCTCTTCCTCGGTCTGCTCTGCAGGGCGTATCGTGTATGTTTTCATGGGACGGTGCTGTCCAGGATACTGTACTCACTTCCCTCAGTGTTGTTGAACCCAACTTCCTAAAACTGAAGCA